CGGAAATGAGAAAAGAAGCTCCGAAACCAAAATTTAATCAGTTCAAAGTGCTTGAAACTGAATATTTTTGCGGAAACAACTTGCGTGGGGCGTTAGAAAACGCGTATGGAACTCAGATCTGGAGAAGAAAGTGGTGTAGGAGGCAAGAGAAGAGAAGATCTCGGCTGCATTTATAGGCTCCAAGTCTTGGGATGAAGGGGCATAAAGAAAGGAGGTAAAAGGACCAAAATGCCCTCGGATTTGGTCATATAGCCGGCCGGCCACCTTTTCCAGCCGGCCGGCCATTTCCTTTTTGGAAAACCGGCCGGCCAGCCATTCACTTTTTGTAAAACCAGCAGGCCACCTCCTATCCCTCATAAAACTGGCCGGCCATGTCCCCCACAGGCTCACCTAGCTCCCTGCAAATTTTGAGGAAGATTGGAGTTCCCGGGACCTGAAAAAATTCAAGAAAAGTACACCTCCGGTCGCGAAATTGCTCCGCCGGAACTTCAGCTTCAAGATCTGACATGTGTCTCATCATCATTCATCGAAATTGAAGTGTATCCTTTTTGAATGAGTTGTAGCCTTTCCAGGAAGTGGATCGGAGGCCGTGATCGAGTCGCCTTCGCCGAAACACGCATTTCCGTACTCGTTATTTCATGACAAACGGGCACCCTGATTCATGCTCGTTTCGCACTATAATGCACATAACTTGCATTCTCATGAGCATACTTGCATTTCCATGCACATTTCTTGATATTTCCATACCTCTATGCTTGAGCATGCGTTATCACGCACGCTCCTTTCTTGCATTGCGATGCATTCACTCACCAGCACTGCGTGTGTCAAACTTCCAGAATCACATTGAATATATGTTGGTAGCATATTGTACTTGTTGAAATTCCTCTTTTTTTGCAGGCACGATATTGTATGTACGGTTCAATTGAGGCTGGTGCGACCAGACGAATCGCGCAGGTATCGTATCTTCTCCGTGTGAGACATGGCGGGGATTGAATAATCCTCCGCATTCTAAACTGCATGAAATATAGTTATTGCTTTGCATTCTTGCTTAAAACTGTTGCATCTATTTGCGAATACTTGCTTCATTACAGCTCGCTGCATTTGCATGATCATTGAGTTATGTTCGGCTTCTTGCATATCGCTTTGCATTTTGCCCCCCCTGCCTGCGGGCCTGCCTGCGGGCACATCTCTGTTTACTTTGTACGTTTGTCTAAGTCTTCGGCCTTGTCAAAAATGGGTCGTCTCTGGGCTTTGACATTCACTCCCGTCATTCTTGTGACTTTCGAGTCTCTGTCAAAGAGGGGCAACTGTAGACACCCCATTTTTGACCGACCTTAAGACTCAGACGTCACTGATTGAGCGCTCGGTGATATGCATAATGTGCTCGTTCAGAAGTTTCGGAGTCTCGGCTGCGAGCCCTGCCTCCGGACTTTCGAACCCTCTTCTGTGCCTTGCCTCGGTTTGCGAACCAGACTCGATTTTCTCGGTTTCTTTTCCTGAGGGAAGGGAGAGGTCCAGTAGACCATCTCTCAGTGGCCGGTGCTACATTTTTGTGGCCGCAGGCCATTTTGCCCATTCCGGAGTCCGGTTTCCGGTTTTTCGGGACCATTGGCCGTGTGCCTCAGGTCGAGATCGCTTAACCATCTCCGTTTGCTCTAAATTTTGGCATACATTTTATTTTCTCCTTTTGAGGGACACTGGGGTCTGAGAAACCCACTTCGTGGCCGAATGCCACTTTCGGTGCTTAACAGCCCCATTTTCGGGACCCCGAACTGCGCGTTTTGGCCCCGAACATTCGTTTTGCAACGGTTTTCGTTCATTTTTGGCAGGTACCTCTGTTTTATCATTGGGAAGGCCGTAGAAGGGTGGGAGGCCAGTAATTGTTGCAGCAACCGTTATATATCCCCCGACGCCCTCCGATGCCCTTTTTCACACTTCCGGGCTAATTGTTGAAACACTTGGGCACACTTTCTTGAACATTGAAGCACAATATTGGGTGATGTACACACATGGGAGAACCTAAAAGTTGGTGCCGGCCACTAATGTTGCTTGACCCTTTGAACTCTCCTTCCCGAGCTAATGTTGAACACCCTTGAGCAATTTCTTGGACTTTTGACCACAGGGTTGTGTTGAGGGCACATGGGAGGACAAACCTTATGTGGTGGTCGCCATAAACCAACTTGACACTTTTGACCAAGCTGGCCGGCTAGGAGTGTGGTCGGCCGGCACCTAACAAAAATACCTGCCGGCCAATGATCCTCACACGTTCCAGATTTACAGCTGTATAGCTTTCCCCCAGAAAAATCCCAATCCGGGGATATTTTGTGGGGGCAAACTTAGCTATTTTCCCC